AAAAATAAGTGACAAAGTGTTTTCTTACTTCTGCAGGTGTACCCTCTTTGGTTATGTCCTTTCATATTGCCCAATAATCCTGGTATGGTCCACCCAAAAGGGGATGAAGCAGAACTCTACGTGGATATAGGAGCTTATGGAGAGCCCAAAAGGAAACAATTTGAAGCCAGGGCTTCAATGAGGCAAATGGAAAAGTTTGTCAGAAGTGTGCATGGGTAAGGATCCCACTCCTTAGAATAGCAGTAATGCCATATAATTTACACCCATGTGGGTTAGTCACAGTTATTTAATCCCACAGCGCTTTAATATTGAAATAATTTAAGAACCACAATAATTGAAAACTAATTTTAATTGCTGATTTTGATGTTACAATTTTTAAATATGATTTCACTTTCATTATTTGATTGCAAAACCAAACAAACAAACTGAAGTTCTTCCAGTATATTTGGGAGCTGCGTAGCTTCAGGTCACCTGTGCATCCTTTCAGCTCCGGGCTGCTCTGGGAGTAGAGTCTCTGCTGCAACAAAATACATCCGTGCACCCAGGTGCAGAAAGACCTCGGCAAGTCTGTACTGACTGCGCATAAACCAGTTGCTATCCAAAACGGTGTTAGCGTGGGTCGGTCACCGCTCTCAGCAAGGCTGGCTACCCCAGCCCTCAGGAAAGCAGCCGCTGAGCTTGCGTACTGAGGCTGACTTGTTTCAGGCGGGTTCAGGGCAGGGGCAGAGCAAGTTGTGTTGGCCACAGTCACTGCAGGAATCCCACAGGGTGTTAAAGTCTGGAGAGCTTCCCTGCCTGCCCTTGGGACTGTTCTCCCTGCAGTCCTTGCAGTGTCATGCAGCAGCTGTGCCCCGTCCTTGCGCTGGTGTGTCCTTGCATGGGGAGGCCAGCCTTGACTCTTCCCTGCAGTCCCTGTGCGGTGGTGGGAGTCTTTCCTCCCTGACAACTCGTACTTCCATAGCTTCCATTTCCCTGCCCCGATTCTTGTTACATAGGACCGCAGTAGGCGTGAGATATGTGCCCACCATCTGTCACAGACTCGTGCCAGCCTAATTTGCTGTAGTAGTGTCAGTGGAGAAGCAGTTACAGGCTTGTTTCTCGGGAACAAAAAAACAACTACATGGTATTTTTACACCATCAGTATAATTTATCCACATTTCTATTTTGACCTACTTCTCAGTCTAACAGTGATTGTGTCCCATGTGGCTGAGTAACAATGACGAGTCTGCTTCGAGATGATTTGGAGAGTGTAAAATGACTTAGCTGCAATAAGTGATCTGCCAGAGAACAAAGCAACCAAAAGTTAATTTTAAGCTTTTTTTAATTACCTTGAAATTAATCTTTTAATCTAAAGCTCTTTACAAACAAAGTTTTGTTTCTTCTCTACCTGTCATTGGGAAATGAAAAATGGATAAATGCTTAATCTTAGAGTTTTGTAATCACACACAACAATAGAGCTTTTATGTAACAGTTTGTGTTTTGCTGCTGTACTCTGATGCTGGCTGCATTTTAGAGAGCAGAGTATGAAAGTAAGGAAGAGTCCACAGCTAAATAAGGATTTTGTTTATTTTTGTAAATGGACCTTTGTTACACTTCTTTTACACTATAAATTTATCTTCTCGGCCTGGTCTGATTTGGCAGGCTTTTGCCTTCCTGGTTGCATTCTCAATGTCCAGTTCAAAGAGACCGTAAAAAGTCAAAGAATGTATTGTTACATCTGCCTTGAATGCGTTTTATAATGCAGGCTAATACGAGATGCCATGATTGTACCTCCATGGATCATAAGAAAGCATGCAGAAAAAATACGTCCTTTTTTTTAAGCTGGAATTAAAGGGTTTTGAATGGAAGACAAAGGAAAGCAGGCTTTCCAAAGCAGTTAGAAAAGTATTTGTCAGGGAGAATTTAGGTTACATGTGGTTTTTTGGTGCAAGGGGCCAGGCTCTTGATTTGGGGGAACTTTCGAAGATCTCTCTAGACTTGTGTTTCTGTGGACACAAGTTGTTATTATACAAGTCGTCAGAAGATTTGGCTGCACGTGTTTAGGATGTCCAAACATGAACCGCTGTTTTATATGCATTTTTTAGTCCTTCTCCTTTTCTCTTTGTAGTAGCAAAACTAATGAAAGTATCAATACGTTGATGGCTAAAGAAGTGTTCTGAACCATATTTTAAAAGCAACAGTTATTTTAATTGCTTTCTTTTCCCATCTTCCCCTTCACCAAAATGACTGTAGCAATATTCTGCTGTTTTCACCATTACATGTTATTTCCTCTTGGAAAAGAGATCATGGTGATGTTAAATCCACAAAATATAATTGGCTGAGTGTCCCAGTGTAGTCCATGTGAGCAATTATATTTGCTTGTTTTTAAAAAGCATTTTTGATGGGTTTTTTTGTTGAATATTTGCTATTCATAGCTTGCCCTGAATTTTTTTTTAGTATTCTATTTCAAATCTTGAGGCACAATTAATACTGAATTTCTGTCTCTTTTGGTGTTTTTTTTCCCTCTCCAGTTTCCAGATGCTGTATGCAGATTGCTATATGACCCGTGAGGAGTTCTGGGACATGTTTGATGGTTCGTTATACCACAAGCTGAGGGAGCAAATGAATTGCAAGGATGCCTTTCCGGAAGTGTATGACAAAATCTGCAAAGCTGCGAGGCACTGAGCCTGGATGATCTAATCAAGCAATCAGGGAAAGATGAATTTACCTGTAGCTAGTCAGTATATCCTTTTAAAAAAAAGCTTTATTGCTCTCCAAATAAGCTCATTCTTGTTGATGTTTAAAGATACGAATTCCTGCTTTATAAATTTATGTTTAGTATTTCTTCGTATGTTTTAAAACCAATTTTCCAAACTCAAAGTGATTGTTTTTAAGAGATCTTAAGTGCTAGCCTTTGTATCTAATGTAGTGACGTAGGTGAATTCACCTATTTCCTAGCATAAGAAAAATAATTGGAAAGGAAGAAGATACTGGGGTTACACCAGCTGTATACTATAGCTATATTTAACATTACTTTTGAAAATGGTAAGGAGGGCTCAGAAATAGGTGCCAAAGCTGAACGTGTTGTAAAATTAATCATGATGTTAAAAACATTTGCCTCCAGTCAGTAACCTGTAGAACAGCTTAGCGATGGTACTGTCATCTTCCGGCTGTGCAGCGCTGCATGATGTTGTGTGGTACTATACCGCTTGGGTTATACCGAACTATAATCTCGAGCAGTTAAACTCCCTAACAGTGGCTTCAGTTTCAAAACTGAGCATTGAGGTGTGAAGAAAATGCTTTTTACTTGTGCCTATCAGATTTGTACTGATTTTGAATATAAAGTGTAAGTGGGTGTAGGTTTTAGGTACTTTGTAATTGACTAACAGTGCATTGGTTTTTTGCCCCAAAATACCAATGTTCTGGCTTCGCAGACTACTGAAAAAATTGCTGCTGTTTCATATAGCCAAGTTTTAATTTCCGTTTTTACTCGTTGTGGGTCAGTTTATTTGGATTTTTTTTGTTTTGTTTTTGGGGGTTTGGGGGGGCGGGGTTTGGTTGTTGCTTAATTTTGGTGCCTTATAAATACTCAGTTGGAGGAAGACATGGGTTATTTCAGACTGTTCTGTCCTGGCCAGTAGGAAAAGGAAGTCAAGACTTTGTTTATACGAAGCTTGTTAGAGCAAGTGGCTGTGGATAAGAAGAACTCTTGTTGTGAATCTTGATACACACAGGCTTTGGTTCTGACTCGAGTGACATTTCTGCTTTTCGTTTTAGCTGGATTAGATTGATAGGCTTTGTAAAAGGACTGTTTCAGTCACCTGGAGTGGAAATCAACAGCAAGTACTGTTCAGTTCCCCCTTCTGCTGCTCACTGGTGAAAACGGCACAGTCACGCACTTCATACGGTCAAGTGTAGAAGTGTGGAAATGTTTTGACCCTGTAGCGAGAAACACAGTTCCAAACCAAGCCCATCTCTTGTCCAAGCGGTACTTTAAATTGTTACTTGAAACCTTGCTGAGCTTGAGGGAAAAGAAAGTAGTTTTCTTGAGGTTGCATCATGAAGAACTTTTTAAACAGTTACCAGAGGGAGGCGTTGTAATTTTTATATCAGTGCTAAACCAATGATTTTATTTATTGATAGATGGATGTTTATGGTCCAGATGAAACCAATGATAAAGCAGTAACAAGAAGAAGTTTGGCCTATTACTCGGTGATGCATGCTGGGCAAATTGTGTGCAAATAAGGCACCCCTTAAAATCCCATGCAGGGGACTGGTAGCAGGCGCAGCTGGCCAAGGGGAGATGCAGCAGTGCTGCCCAAGCCACGGGGCTGGGCAGGAGCTGTGTCAGTGATCCAGGAGTGTCTGCTACACCGTTCCAGGCTTTGGGGTACACAGGAAGGCAAACACTGATTCTCGGGGTGTAACCTGCCCTCCTGCCCCTGTGAGGGAAGCGGCACAAGAGCAGTTTCCTTGTCCCTGGGGCAAAGCTACAATTGAGCCCAGTGCTTGCAAGAGAATCTGCACAGAGCAAGAATGAGTTTGGTTAGCTTTTAAAGGGCGATGTTAAAACAGCTAGAGGATATGCAAATACTTTTACTTTGGTTGTGTTTCTCTCACTTACATACTGGTGATCTTTAAGTATGCACTCTTGTTTTTTCGCTCCTTAATTTATTGGCAAACTTTGTATGATGTGATTGGGTACTGTAACTGTATCAGTCACACACATGCACATGCATAATTACTGCTGCTCTTAATTTTTGGTTGTACGGGCTGTTTAAAATAAAGATCTAGCCAGCGTACTGTTCAAAGTGGTGTCTTCTAATGAACGATTGCTTCACTTCTCAACAGCTGCGTTCATCATTTCTGGTGCTTATTGTATTGTTACAAACGGTCAGCGATTATGAGAAGAGCTGCTGTCTGGGTAAGAGACCAGAGGCATTGCGTGGTGGTTGGGAGATGAGGAGCCTAGTGCTGCAAACAGCTTTGAAGGAATGTCTTTGAAGTCTGTAAGTCTACCCTTATCTCTGGCACCTGTACAGAACAAACATGTTATAGCTGAGCCTTAACCTTTCAGTTACGCCCACTAACTCCACATAGCCTCATCATGTCAATTATCCTGATTGTTTTTCCCCCCTCACCTCATTCTTTCCCTGTGACGTTTTGTCCAAGGAGGACAAAACCCTATTTTGGATTTAGGTGCTACAGCCATTGACATGGATAGCTACTTCATTCTTCTCACTTCACGCTAATAAACCTAATCCCTGATTTGAATGATCAGCCACAGAAGTGAGGATGAAGATTCAGTGCCCTCTTCAGCCTGAGGAGTTTCACATCCACATCTTCTGTTTCCTTGAAAGATGCCTTCACAGCAGCAATGTAGGCTTAGTCAGAGGTATTCCTGCCCCTCCCTTGGCCACAGCTGGTGCATCCTCTTCCAATGCTCTTTTCCCAGAGAGAAGCTCCTGGGTTTTCTCCTGAAATCCAGGCTGCCAAATGCCTCAACCCCACTGAAGCCACAGTTCAGGTGCCAAAGGCCCGAGTTCCTTTAATCACATTCTTTGTTGGCCCTGACTCAGGCTGCATTTCACAATCCTCCCTTGTTGCCCCAGCAGTATTTCTGTAGCCTGCACTCACCCACGTCACTGCTCAGGCGTTTCCCTTCAGAGACCTCCTTCCTCCTCTGCTTGCCTCTCTAGAACAATAATCAGTATTTCCTTAAATCACTGTAGTTTTACCTGTGTTCAATTATCTCCCCCACCAAAGGATAATTGCAGATTAATTAGCATACTTAATCAGCCACAACTAACACATAATTACACCTAGATTTAATTATTCCAGTCTGGTCTAAACACTAGTACAAGATTTCATGAAGGTTAACTCTAAGTGAACCAGTGTACTCCCAGTACACTTTTATGGCCGTCCTTTGTTACCACCCACACAGCTCTCCGTTTCACTTTCTCCGTTGCCTCTAGGTTTTAATATCCTACAAAATTTGGAACGATGACACTAAATTCCCCCCAATTCCCTCCAGCTGCTTATAAACATTTGCATTGTCAATTCAAGTGAAGCTGTATGTTGCAGCTCGTGACGAAGATCGTCACACACAGCTACTTGGAAGACGGCAGGACCAGGGGACAGGTACGTAGGCAGGTGCCGAAGGCCTGACTAACGACTTTGCCACAGTACTGCTTTCTCAGACCCGGCTTGCCGTTGAGTTGTACTGGTGGAGCTGGGGGCATTCGGCAGTGGTAACACCACCATGCCCGTAACAGGTATGTGCAACTTCTTCCAGTAGCACCATTTGAAAGGAAATGTTTAATATTGAGTAAGCTGCGCGTGCCAGCAGACCTTCCTTCGGAGGACATGCAGTACCTGGCATCCTCTTCTCATATGTGTCGCTTTTATAAAGTCCAAGGTGGAAATAATTAATTACTCAACAGAAAAGTTAGACTGCTGATTGGCTAAGAGTGTTTTATTACCACAGAAAAAGACTTGAGTTGTTTCCTATCTCTTGACTTGCATGCCAGCATGCTGTATTTTCATCTACCGAGTCTCATCCGCTGGCACGTCTGCCATTTACTCATGGATTTGGGCTTCCCAGCACCATCTTACGATTGGAAAACAGCAGTGATTTCTTCAGAGGTATCTGGACAACATGGAGCAGAAATCAAATCACTCCAGTTGTTTTTAGCAACAGGCTTGAGCCGCTCGCTGTGGAAAGAGGATGCGATTGAGTGGGATCAAATTACTGGCTGGATTAATCTCATTAGTCTTAATGAGCATGGAGGTGAACAGAGCTCTTAAAAGCCTGGCTATTCCCTAGAAAGCACAGCTGTAACTTGAAAAGTGATTTTGGAGCTAGTGCTATTTGATCAGAGAGATGCATTTGAATTCCAAGTCCTGCTCACTGTTCAGATTTCTTTTTTATTCCTACTGGAAGTGCAAAATTAACAAAGCTGGGCAATATTGAAAGCTAGATTTCATTGTCCTTTCTCCATCATAGGATAGCTAACTTCTGGCTGCCCCGCTGAAAGCTGCCGAGTTATATTCAGCCAAGACCAATTTCTAACTACTCTCTGGAGATCAAGAAAAACCTTTGCAGAGCTGTCAGCCCGTAGTGCCACCGCAGCAGTTTGCTAATCTTGGCCACAAGCAAAGGTGAGAGCGGAGGGCTATCCTGAGGTCTCTCATTAGTATAGTTCCTAACTGCTTCACAGGGTTTTCACGCTAGCGATTTCAAAGCCCTTTGTGGTGGAAGTGAGCCTTGTTATCTTCTTTCCTCAGATGGGTACACCAAGGCACAGCCTGAGAAGGTGATTTTTGTTCGGGGCTGTTGAGCAGTCCAGTGCCGGCGCTGGGAATGAGTCCAGACAGCCTGATTATCCATCCACCTCCCAGTTCCTTCCCAGGCTGCCTCCTCTAACTCGATGGAAACTATTTGCCTACACCTCCGCTGCAGGCAAACTGCATTTCACAAGATACAACAGCCACCTTGGCATCTGTGAAGTGCCTTGAGAGCCAGTAGGTCTTTAACCCTCCCATTACCCCTATGCGGTGGGGAAGCATGAAGGTCTCCTCGCTTTCCCGGGAGGGGAGAGGTGCAGCGATACCAACCTCCCTGTCCACAGAGGGAACCTGCGGTGGGGCTGGCGAGTGTTTCTCAGTCCTGATCTAGTGCTTTAACTACACGATCGTCCCATCTCACATCAGTTGTAGTGTCAGTAACGTGCACTCAGTCTCCCCAGAGCTGCTCAAGATGATTTTCCTGTAAGCCAGTGTGAAACCACTTACAGCCCCCTTGTCTGTCAGACTTACAGCAAGTAGGCATCCCGCTTCAAGTTGCTGAGGTACCGCTGCGCGTCACACTGGTACAGGGACTGGTATCTCGTCTTCTGAGGGTATTTTTCATATTTGGTGATGTTGTAGCGACCAACGCCTACAGGGTTCTGGAAGGAGAAGGTCTCACGTGCTTCCCTATCCAGAGGCAGCATGGGGGATGTGAGTGGGGCAAAACCAGGTAATGCCTTCACGTGACCAGGCGTGCAAAAAATACAGTATGTGGCGTATCTTAACCAAACCCAGCCTATATTGCAGGGAGGGAGGAGAAGACACACTAATCGGTGTTAGCCCGGCCAGTCCCCTGCACAAGCAGTTCTTCCCATCACAGCGGTCCATAAAGAAGCCAATTAGCTCTGCGGGCTTGAGCACACTCACCAGCCGCCTACTGCTAGCTGTAGTGAAGGGCTGCCGTGTCACAACCTCCCCACTGAAATGTAATTTGTCGAGTTCCCCAGCAATTACGAAGATGTCTTCATCCTTGACCTCTTTCAAGTTGCCTGTTTCCCACTCAGCTGGGTAAAGGAGAGAAGCCACGTGGAAGCCTGCTCCTCATCCATAGCCAAGGTGGACTATTTCAGACTAAAGCTCTCCCTGTCTGCTTTGAGCCCTTCAGGCTTTGTTCTGGTTCTCCGTGGGGAAGCTGCCAAAATGAATACAGCTCCAGGAAGGAAGGGCTCCTACCTGCACTGGCTCTGCAATGTGCTGCTGATGCTGCTAGAGGAAAAACTGGCTTTCAAGCAGCAGAATGTGACTTTCTGGGAGGATACAAGGAGCTCCTGGCACCTAAAAGGACTCAAACCCAGCTGCCCTCATCCATGAAGTGCATCCGCTTGCTTGCAGCTGATGCAGAGCAAAACTAATGGGAAGGGTTGTCTGAGCATTCCTTGAAAAGGGCAAAGGCCTGAGGATGCAGGCAGAGACAACGTGGTCGCTGCTGAGCTCCCACCCCTCTGCTCAGCACCAGCCAAGCTCACCTGCCTACGGGCAGCGCGTGCTGAGTGGTGGGTACTCAGCATGCTGCTGTACGCAGGGGGCACCTTCCTCTTGACCTGGCAGGACGTTGGGCCGTGGGCTTTTATTCACCGTTTATTCTTTAGCAACATGTTCTGGGCAAGAACAACAGCACCCAGAGGGACTCATCTCCTCTCTAAAGGAGGAGTATCTGGCCAAGTCACCCAGGTTTCCTTGATGATCAAGGAAGAGAGAAAAGCACCTCCTGAGGTCAGTCTGCCCTTCTATCACAGACAGCCACCTGATGTGGGACTTCTGCCGGGGTGCTGCTCTGTTCAGAGGACACACCTGACATTTAGCTGGCTGAAGCTGGTGAGGAGTGCCCACCCTTACTTTGGCTCAGAAGAGTTTCGTCTTCTCCCAGGGGTGCTGGTAATGGATTGGGGATGGTCATGGAGGAAGCTCGGAGCCTGACCACTCCTGCATCCCTCTTTCACTGCCTTGTCCATTCACTCACCTCGTTCCCAGTAAAGAGGCGGTAGGACTTTCTGTTGAATCTCTTGGCAGATGACCAGAATGGGGGTTGGCTGGAGTACGTTGATCTCTCAACAGACTTTGGGTTGTAGGAGCCTGGCCCCACTGCATGCTGGGCAGAAGGAAACCGTTATGCTTCAGGTTGCTTGTAAAAAGAGCTGTACAACTTTGGAGAGACATCCCTCCATCCATCCATCTATCTGTCCATCCATCCATCCATCCCCCACTGGCCTAATGCATCCCCACCCCAGGCACCCGCTGCACCACCAGGGATGCTGGTGGCACTGGCCGGTGCCGATGTCCGTGCTCCCACTGACCACCTCCTTCGGGCACTGGCTGAGCGTGGCCCAGAAGATCCTCTCTGTGGGGCAGCCCGGGTTCCTCAGCAGGGTGCTGAAGCAGCCTTTCTTCTTGTTCTCCTTCAGCATCAGCTCGTCCAGGAAACCCTTGACAGTGCCAGTGCTCGGCTCGGTGCCTCTCCTCTGCCGGGACAAGGGAGCGGCGTGAGGGGCTCA